ATTCTGCTGTTGTTGTTGTAAACGACTAGTTCTAAATACGAATACAAATTTACTTGACATACCTGCATACACACACAAAAATATCGGGATAACTGCTAGCCAGATTGCAGTTGACAATAACACATTTATGAGCTCAATCATCGTGCTCTTACCAAAGCATATGCAGCAGCACACGTGACTTGCAAGCTACGCGTATACGCGACGATGCAATGGGGTTGTGTCCATCAACGCCTTCGTGTCGCATCAAGGGTGTATATTTAAATCACCATTGACCCTATTGTCGGGCGGAGAGCTCGGCTCAATCTTTATGCCTTTCAGCATGTTCACTTATTTCTTCCATTCAGCGTTCCTCCCTTTCAAACAAATACTAACCCGTCCGAAATGCAGTTAGCGACTGTGGCATAAAACTGATGGCACGATTGCACTGCAGCTGATCTCTATATTAATGGACCGGAGCATTGAGATGACGTTCTGTGACTGTGTTGAAACCCGGCATTCGCCCGTATATATTACCTAGGTACCTAGGTAGGTAGATATATATATTTGCGTTTAAGGGCAGTCGATTAGGCGCACCAATATAATTTTTAATGTAAATTCTAACTGTATAACTTTGTGTTAAATAAACTGGGGAGAGCACGTAATTGCTTAGGGATTGTGTTCGTTTTATCCATGCATAATATTCCACCAACAATACGTTATTCAAAGCTACCTACTTATGTATATATGGAATTTGATGAGGGCAATACATAATTCGCTAAATAAACTCCTAAAAGGACTAGTGTCGTAAAAAAGACATTTTTTTGATTGTATTTTACACAGATCTTTCGCATACCAATGTTTCCATGCATATTGCGTACGACGCGTTTTATTGATATATAATATTTAGAATATTTTTTTTAATATCATCAAAAACCATTTTGCTGACAAAGTTTCATTAACTTGTAAAAAAGAATGCACTGATTTGTAAATATACCATATACAATACATATTACAAGACTCCTGAATGTAAGACATACCTTGCAGTATTTTATATAGTTTTGAGTCACATCTCTAAACGAATGTACCTTTGGGGTAACGTGGATACATTTGTAATCCGGAGATGATACAGATGAATTATCAATTATTTAAACGGAAATAAAACATAAAATATCCACTAAAATCTAGGAGCAGCGTTATTAAAAATTTATAGTAATTCAGTATAACTTCATTACTTAACTTGTACATCCATTTTCATCGTTTCATGAAATGTAGATACTGGTTTCTTCCTAAACCAATTATTGGAGACTATACATCAGATCGACAGCATCTTATCTCAATAATATATTATTTACTATCCCAATAATATATTTTTCGTAAGTATAAGTCACCTCGCAACCGAATCTTTTTTGCTGTATAATTCTGAGTTTTCCACCGACGCGTTCTGTACTTAAAGAACAGATACTTAAAATCATCGCTTTTATTTTAGATAATACAGATAGTCTAATATTGATATTAATATGACTAGAATCAGAGCTGAATTGGTTGTTATACTCTTGCAACATATTGTAAGAAAGTATAATAGTTTTGTTCACCTAACGGTTGGTTGGATCACTCAAAACCAATCGAGATAGATATAGTGTTACATATACTCGTACAGGACCGTAATAACTTTTTTTCTGTGTTCTCGACTTCCTTTTTTTATTTGGCAGGTTATTGCTTAAGTTTTTTAAAAATGAGTGCTTGGGATACCGAATAGATTTTTGGCGGCACTCCCCTGAGTAGATGGACCATTATGAAGTTATGAAACATGTTTGCCGAATCCGGAAGTATCGCAAGAGTACCGTACCATCGATATCCGTATGTTCGTGTTCAAGAAAGAATCGCAACTTGGAGTTAGCAGACGGTCATTATAACAGATAATTAATGGTGACTTAAACCTGTATCGTACAAAGTTCAAATAAAAAGCCAGTTAAACCCTCTAGATATGCCTATTCGCCAGGAATTTTTCCAAAAAATTATTGAACTGGCCGAAGAAAACAATGACTTGATAAATTGAGTGTTTATGTCTGATGAGACCCATTTTGATCTAAACGGAAATCTAAACAAGCAAAATTGCCGTGTTTGGAGTGAATCAAATCCAGAAATAATGCAAGAGACGAAACTTAACCCAGAACAAGTTACTGTGTGGTGCACAGTTTCATCAAGGTGTATTGTCGGGCCATACTTATTTAAAGAAAATGGTGTAACAGTAGCTGTTAATGGGCACCTATATTTAGAGTATTGAATGAGTCGTTTTACCCAGAACTTCGCCGAAGACTTATTCCTTTCAATAGAGTTTGGTTCCAGCAAGATAGAGCAACTGCACACATAGCCAGACCGGTTATTGCAGAACTTCAGCGAAAATTTTATAACCAATTAAAACAAAGAAACTACACTTTTCGCTGGTCCCCCAGGTCACCTGACCTGACTGCACCTGACTTTTTTATGGGGTTATGTCAAGCAAGAGGTGTACAAAACAAAACCCAGACATCTGACTGAATTGAAACAGTCCATTAAATCGATAATTGAGGCAATCCCGACTTTAACCCTTCATGCCGCAAGAAATAATTTTCTAAGTAGGTGTCGCATATGCGCAGCGGAGCATGGAGGTCATTTACTGTCCATCATTTTTAAAAGTAATTAATTATATAAATAAATATGTTGCATAGATTAGAAAAAAGTTATAACGGTTTGTTTTTGTAGCACGATTCGTGAGCCACTCTGTATATAAATGATCAGGATGACGAGGCGAATTGAAATCCGGATGTATGTCTGTCCATCCAGATGAAACTTAGTACACATGTTCCTTGGCAAAAAGTAATTACAAATTCGTAGATGGGCGTAATTAGACCACTTTCACGCCCACAAAGCGCCATTAATCGAAAACGTATAAAGTGCTATAACTAAGCCATAAATAAGAATACACAACTCAAATTTGCCAAAACCAATCTAGTTAAGAAGGAGCACCTGTGGTTTAAAAATCGTGAAAGAGTGGGCGTGGTCTCGCCCTTAATACATTTAATGTATATACAAGTATCTCCGAAACCAATAAAGCTTTTTCACTCTAATTTGCACACAACAAATATTTTCAAACCTTCTTGCGATAGTGTGAAAATAGGTGAAATCGGACCGGTTTTGTTAAAAACTACTAAAAGTGTGATAAATCAAAAACTAAATGCAGCAGAGACATTAAATTTTACACCCCGGATGACAGAAGAGGGCATTATATGAGCCGGTATCAAAATTTGACGGCGTGGCACCGCAAACTTTTACGTGAAATCACATATCTCGGGACTTGCTCGACTGATTTTAACCAAATACATTCCTACAATATTCTCATGTTACGCTGCGTAAATAGAAGAAATCGGATCACAGCCAACCTGCTTACCATATAACACTATTTTGAGTTCCATCTGATTTCTTCATATTTCAGTATACAAATAAAGCAACAATTAATATATTGAGATAAAACTTTGCACAAAGAGTTCCTCATTGTGTGCCACCTTATGGCCAAAAATTGTCCAAGCCGAACCAAAACTGTTCAAGCCCCTAAACACCGAATATGTGGACTCCAGTGCCTATAGTTGACTTTTAACCGAAAATATCGGTCAATTTGTAAGATATATAATTGAAATTCGGAGAAAATGCTTTCCTGATTATGATGTATGTTTGTGTGTCAAAAATGGGTTGGATCGGGTTAATATTTCCATTAGCCCCCATATACCTAATATAAAGATTTTCGAACATCTGGTTGACCCTATACCGCATATATCAGCATATATCTCTCATGTACCTAACATAAGATTTTCAAACTTCCGGTTGGAAGTTGGTTGTTGAAAGAAATTGGTCCAAACCTTATAACCCTAAAATAATGAATTTCGATCTTTTTTTTTGACGTTTCCACATCAACTCGTTAAACCATTTAGCTTTTTCAGTTAAGTTTATATCCCATATATCCCATTTGAAGATGATTTTAATACAATTTTAGCGGACGGAAAGTATGATATAGTAATATAAATATAATACAACTTAATAGAATACTAAATTTAATTGTAATCCATTTACAATTTCTTCGAATAATAAATTTTGAATTGTTTCGCAACATTTTTTAATATAAAGATATCCTAACACCTAAACGTATTTTTCCTGCTTTGATCCTTGCAAGTTGCCGGAGTATAAAATGTTCGGTTACAGCCGAACTTAGCCCTTTCTTACTTGTTTAGTTTGTTTCTCTCCAACAGAGTTTGCTATTTTAGAAAATTTAGATTTGACAGTGAACCCCTCGAATAGACTAAAACAAATGTAGTTATAAGGCTGTCACCTTCTTTAAAATTTTTAATCACCAATTACCAGAAAGGTAAACGTATTATGAAATCTTTAAGTATCAAATAAAAAAAAGCATATATTGCAATTTTTTAAGTACTCTTTGTTATCGTCATTGTTGACATACCTACATACATATATACCAACACTTTGACCCCCGACTGTTCTATTTAAACTGCGCGAAAACCGAATCAGTAAAATGTATGTTTTCCTATATTGGTAAAAGTTTTTTTTTATTTGTGTATAAAGTTTGATCTATATATGTTAAATTGCGTGTGTTTACAAAGAACGTAGAATATAAAGAAGACAGACTTATAGTATATTCTACGTTCTTTGGTGTTTAGCTCGTACGTGGATTAGATTTCGCAAAAAAATATTCGTGACAACGTAAGTAGCTAAGAACCTTACATTCATCAAACGCATCATTACTGGTGACTAAAACTGACTGAAAGCACTGAGGGTTGGTATGGTAGAAAATAATTAAATTAAAGATTTGTATTCAAATCAGTACGGGTCAAAATTAATCTGATGGTATTATATTGGGTCGTTCACTACGTCATTCGTTGTTTATGTGCAATTTAAACACGATTTTTTATTGTGTGAAACATTTTGTGAAATTAAACAAACTTAATCTTTTAACAATTTCTCGGTTTTAATAGGTCTTCCAGGACGTGATGCATCCGAAGTTGCCGGAACGTATTTTTGCAAACCAATTTTGGCATTGGCGTTCGGTCAACAAATATTCTGCTGTCAAATGCTGTTTTCGGTCTTCCATCATCGATAAGGCATCAAATAAAAGTAATTCCAAAAAATTTAAGAATATTTTTTCCAAACAAGCTTTACAATATCAGCTGTTCAAGTATTTATATAGCGGTAAAGCGGTTAAGGGTGCAGTTGGCTGCGAAAAATTCAATAAGATCAGCTGTTGTAACCAAAGGAGATTACTTAGTGTACAACCCAATAATAAAATCTAAAAATAGCAAAATTAAGTAAGTATAAAGTTTGCACAAAGTTTTTTGTAAGTATGTATGCATTGTTAATTATGTATATGTGTAAGTGTAATTATATATTTCCATGTATTTGAAAGTGTTAAATAAGTTTATATATACGAATGCAATTTTATATGTATGCCGGTCTATTTTCTCATATCCTTTAAAATGTCTCTTTTCAAACCAACTATTATATAATATACCATATCAGTAAGCATGTACTGCATACGAGCAGACATAAATAAATGATTACACAGTCTGTTAGAAATGCCCCTTTGCTTAAGTTTTGTAAACTCGATTACAGTTTGAACTGCTGGTACGGATTCAGACACGTAGTCACAAATGCCAATAGGGAATGCGTAAATAAATTGCACAAAGGTTATGTCTATATATAAATTTTCCAGTTCAACTCCAATGAAAAGAAAAACACAAACGGCAACAACAACTACTTGATTGGACTAACAGAAAAAGGCAACAATAAGGGTGTACTCAGCGCAAGAACGATTCGCTCTATTTATGATTCTCAGTTGTTGTTATGTATGTTTGTTTGTAGTGTGCAGGTACTTTGATCGAGACTCTGCACTAGATTTGTGCGAAACACACAAATAAATAAAGACAAGAACAATAAATAATTCAATCACACAATCACTTAATCATTTGCAATCCAACCAACCACGAGCAGAAATTCATCTAGATAAACATTCGACAAAAGGATGAATGTTTGCTGCTGTTGATTTGAGGATATATTTGGTTGTTGTTGACTCGATACACTACCCGAAGTAAGGGAAACATAACATGGTAAAAATCAGCAATGTGGCAGAGACTGAAACGAACGGTAAAGTTAAATAAAATCTCCAGCAGGTGCAGTAAGTTCTCTACAAAACTATGAGCTTTCTCATTTAAAATATTTTTTTACTACCGAGTTATAAAATTAAAAAAAAAACAAAAAAAAAGAAACAAATTTGCCTTAAACTAATCAAACTTCAATCGTTAATATCTTTTAAACGGTTAGGTTTATAAAAAAATCGTAAGAGACCATTTTGTAGAGCAATTTCCTACAACATTAAAAAAAAAATAAAATAATAATATATTATCTGATAATAAGAAAAAAATTGATAACTGTAAGGCGGGGGACAATACCGTCATAATAAAGAGCTCATGTTGAAGAGCCTTTCTTAGAGGTGTCTTAGAATCTTTTTTTCTGAGTACCAAAGAAAAAAAATTGGTTTTTTGACGCACTCTAATGTATATTGCATTAGACTGTTTCATTTTTCCCAAGTGTTTTATATGGAACTAGAAGACCCCGACCACGCTTTGCTGTGACTAAGGTATAATTAAATTATATCAAGTAAGCAGTTAGTAAAATATTATTATCAACATTAATTTCTACATTTTTCGCTGTCTATATAGCTCGTTTGCCGAGCTAGTTAAGATTTAAGTAATTATTTTGTGCGTCATAAACATTAAAAAAATTTTAATTTCCCGATCGTCGCCAAAGTTTACAGGATTAATTGCTGAGCCATCTTGAAGACCGTCTGAAAGTTTCGTTGAAAACGGTCTAGCCGTTTCGGAGTTTATAATATATTGGAATACTCCTGTATTTTACTGTACTTAGAAAGCGTTTCTCTTATGTTCATAAATCCATTAAGACCTCATAGGTCAAAGACAATTATCATTTGGCGAGTTGCGTCAATGGGGATAGCATAATCGTTTTCACCATGAATAAATACATGTACATACTAATTTTCGTAACCATCGGTCAAACTATACACAAGTCGGTACATTGCAGCGCCACCTGGTGGCGAGTTACGTCATTGGGAATAGCATAAAAGCCTTCTCCGTGAAAAAATACATATATATACCAATGTTCATAATGATCGGTCAAATAGTTTCTGAGTCTATCGACTTCATAATATACACATCCTTCTTTATATATATAGGATTCTAAATATTAGTATTAAGAGCTCAAATTTGAAGGCTTTTTTCTTACTTTCTTGAAAATTTTTAGTCAGTTTTTTAATTGAAAAATAAATGTTGCCTTAAAAATTACACAGCTTAATAAATATGTTACGAAATGCGTAGTAAAATATACAGCTATGTTCTGTAAGCTCTGTAAGCATTATCTAGCAACCAGCACCTGGCGACAGCGAGATCTTGCTGGTCCAAAGAGAAACCTAAGAGGTCCTGTATGAAGGAAGATGAAGTTGAAACATATAGATACTTTTCTTTCTCTGTCCACCTTTTGCAAAGGGTGAAGCAAAACAGTAGTCATACTGTAGGCTAGTGGGCAAATGGACTGGAGATGATATTAGCTGCCTCGACAAATTTGTGATATGCTTTAGGCGCTTTGGCGATATGCGACGGTCTTTTGATCACAACGAACCGGCGTTTCTAGCTTTTCAAGTAAGATCAATGCCTTTACGAATATAAATCTGATTACCTAACCTAAAATGTGAAATTCAATTAGTACATTTTTACATATATTTATGCATAATTTGGCTTCTCCTTAGGAACAAAAGAATGATCAAGATCAAGGAACTTGCAACTGAACTCCATAACCACGGCGATGCTATACATAGTAATAATCAGACATGCGAACCATCAATACCTCCACCACTTCAAGCATACAAAATTTTTTTCAAGAAGTTCCGCTTATTTTTTGTTATTTCTTTGTCATACATTTCCAATTCAATCCACTCCCAATACAATCTCCGCTTAGAAACCTCTATTAGTCAACTCAGTACTTTCGACACGGTACTTCTTCTCAATTAAACGCCAGACATCATAACAGTGCTTCTTCGCAGATAAAGCGGAATTCTTGAAGCTTAAATTTCATTCGGTTTCAGGAACACGCCTGATATATGTATGTAAATACATTATTAAATTTTCTATTTTTTCAGTGAGAGCACTTTGATGACGAACTTTGTTCAAATTGGTTGGTTGCAATAGTCTATTAAATATGTTTGTGTAATTTTATTCTTAAAATCGCTCAAAATATTAATTATAAAACCTAGCAAAGACTTCAAGAATATTTCAATTTGAAATTTAATTTTAATTTTCAAAAAAAAAAAAATATGTATACACCTAGCAACTCCAATTGCCTGATGATGTTTGAAAGAATGACATATTTAAATAAGTCAAATCCGTTAAAAAAAGTGGTAAATTCACAGCGGGCACGCATTATTTATAACAAATGTATATCAAAATCGATTTTACACATTTTTAAATAATGTCAAGTGTGTTTATAAACGACGATGAAGTGTGCAGTGGGTAATTGTACACAACAATTTTACCAAATTTAAGGTGAAGTGAACTTAATATAGTGAAACAATATGTATAGAAAGAAATTCATGACATTGTTCATGTATCAATATGTCACAGAAATACATATACATTAGGGTGGAGCGAAAAAACAATTTTTTTTATTGTTTAGCCTGGGGGTAAAATCTATAGATTTTAAAAAGAGAAAACTTTTGGACAAAAAAAACCAATTTTTTTTTACATCTAGAGGCGGCGCACTCAGTTTTAAAGTAAATTTTCGAGTTTAAATTTTTTATTTCGTAAAAACTTTGATATGAGTTCTAGAAGGTGTGTGTGCTTAAAAAAAAATTTTGTGGTTATTATTGGAGTTTTAAAAAAAAAGTTTTAAACGACAACATGCTTTCCTAAGCGTTAAAATAAATTTTGAGTCTAAAACCGTCACATTCGGTAATTTTTATATAAATGTAAAGAGTTTAAACCAAAAATAATTTTTTCTTGTCTAAAAAAAATGTCTCGAAATTTACTTCAAAACTGACTGCGCCGCTTCTAGATGTTAAAAAAAATTTTTTTTGTCCAAAAATTTTCTTCTTTATAATTTATAGATTTTACTCCCAGGCTAAACAAAAAAATAAATAAAAATTTCGCTCCACCCTATTTATACATGTATACATATGTTTTCCGCTCCATCTATTTTTGTGATTTATTACAAATTAGCTTTAAAGCTAAATTATATATTTTGCTTCTTACGTGTATGTATGTTTGTTATTAGGTTCAAATACACATTTCTTGAGATTTCTCAAAAATGAGGATTTAAAAATGCTTTAAGTCACCTTTTGCGACACGGAGGTTAGTTAAAACTCAATAATTTTAAAGTGCACGATGTATTTATTTAAGTTTTTGGCATTTACAAAAATAAGCGCGAATTCGTAAGAAATATTTTAGTAATTTGGGTATTATTTAATCAAATAACGCTCTTCAACACCTTTATGCCGACTGGGATACATTTGCAAAAAATTGAAAACGGAATTGGTTGAATTTGAGACCGATTATAGGTTAATCACGTATGCGAGACTGGGTTGCTGAATCCAGCTGAAAAAATAATGGAGATTATGAACCAATGTGAAAAAATATTTAAAAATCTAAATGGGTAAACCATTTAACATCAAAAAATTGTATCTAATAAGTAAGGAAGGGCTAAGTTCGGATGTAACCGAAGATTTTATACTCTCGCAAAGTCAAATGGTATACTCGTTTTAGATTTCTTTGTGGATCTTGGTAAAAAGCCAACTATAGGCACTGGGGTCCACATATTCAGTACCTAGAGGCTTGAACATTTTTGGTTCAATTTATATAATTTTTCGTTACAAGGTGGCATACTTTAAACGTATTATTCACTCAAAGTTTTACGCCGATATAATCATTGTTGCTTGATTTGCATACTGGAAAGTGAAAAAATCAGATGGAATGTAAAATGATGTTATATGGGAAATAGGCGTGGTTGTAATCCGATTTCGCCCATTTTCGTACTATAACATAGAAATATGAGAAGAATATTATGTACCAAATTTGCTTGAAATCGGTTAAGCAGATCCCAAGATATGGGTTTTCACCTAAAAGTGGGCGGTGCCACGCCCACTATCTAATTTTGAACGTGGTTCCTATCCCAGAGAAAAAATTTAATGTTTTTGGAGTATTTAGGGCGGGGTTGTTACCCGATTTCACCCATTTTCACACCATCGATAGAGATGCTAAAAACATTTGTCCCCATTGAATTTAGTTATTGTAGCTTCAGTAGTATAGGAGGTACGCACACTAAACTTATAAGGGGGCGGGGCCACGCCCACTTAAAAAAATTTCAACTGCAGATGCCCCTCTCTAATGTGATCCTGTATACCAAATAAGAGTCTTGTATCTTATTGCGGAGCTTAATTATGACAATTTATTTGTTTTTGATTAATGGCGATTTGTGGGCGTGGCAGTGGTCCGATTACGCCCATCTGCAATACCAACCGTCTTACGGTTCCAAGGAACATGTGTACCAAGTTTCATAAAGGTATCTCAATTTTTACTCAAGTCACAGACGGACGGACAGACAGACGGACGGACGGACAGACAGTCACCCGGATTTCAACTCTTCTCTTCATCCTGATCATTTATATATATATAACCCTAAATCTAACTCGATTAGTTTTAGGTGATACAAACAACCGTTAGGTGAATAAAACTATTAAACTCATAATGTAGATAATATTTTTCAAATTAGTCCGACTTAGGTATGACGATGTTGATTTAATGAATGAAAATAAATCATTAGTAATATTACTGTGTTTTATTTTTGCGTTTTTTGTTTATGTCATTATTTATATATAGGTAAAACTTATCCAATTTGAATAGGATGTATTCTTTGAAATCATCCACTTCAAAATGATTGGAGCAAATTCTTGAATTTTGACCACCCTCTGCGTCGCAAAAGGTTAACCCAAAGCTTTTTTAAACTTTCATTTTTAATAAATCTTCAGAAATGTAAGAAGAAAACATATATATATGTAAGTATGTGTCGATATACTGATACAAAAACAATGTCAATAATATCTTATAATCCAAAATTTTACATTATGTTAGTTTCCTCCCCTGTAAGTTTGGCAAACTTATGCGAAATTTTGTTATTTAAATTTCTTCATTACAATCATATCATTCACACAATTTGTCTATATCTTTGCTACAACAACCCACTGTACCCTTTATCCTCCTTTCAAATTTTTAAAAGCAATTTTTGCAAAATTTAAGGCTTTACGACTTCAGAAAAGTGTGAAAAAAGTTATGAAAAAATGTATAAAAAGTGATTTTCATGTTCGTTTTTTATAAACAATGCGCGCCCGCCTCGAACTTTTATAAAGGATTTGACTTATTTAAATATGTCATTCTTCCAAATGTCATCAGGAAATTAGATTTGCTATATGAATAATTTTTTTGTTAAAAATTAAAACTTGATTTTAGAGTGAAATATTTTTGAAAACTAAAATAAGTTTTTTAAGTGCAAAACTATTTCATAATATCTCTGATACAAATTATTTTTAATTCCTTACAAGTAAATTGTCGGTTTATAGCTTTTTATGATTAATATTTAATCATATGATTTTAAAGTTGTCGTAATCTTGTATTCTATGAACGTTGAAGGAGACAGATTCTAAATAAACTTGATTATTATATTTACAAAAAACAAAAAACGTTTTAGGATTTAAAAGTAATGTTCAAATTTTAACCGCATTGATTTTTATACCAGCAATGACGTTTTCGTTTTTATTCACAAATAACATTTTAAGATATTGAATAATTTACAATAATATAATGTAATGTAAACCCTAGCCACAGCAACGTGTGGCCGGTGACTTCTAGAAAATATTTTTATATATTTCGCCTTTTCACTCTCCGCATTACAAACCTATATACAGGTTAATGTAGTTGTTGTGGTCACTAGATACTTAAAAGCCCACAAAGCACCAGTGAAAGTTTGCATACGAAATTCGCCATTTTACGACTCTCTAATTAATTCTTAACTTAACATTTGCGTGAAACTTTACTTAGAAAGCAGTAGTCCTAAGTAAAAGAGGGCCAAACGTCAGCTACGGATTAGGACAAGTCGCGCATAACGGTAATGGGCAGAGGTTGCGGATGCTCGGCGGACGTTTATAAGTGTACAACCCAACTTTGTGAAAAGTTTTGAAATTACGTTGTTTTTGGTAGTTATTCATGCACTTTTGAGAAGCGCTTTCAAATAGTATAGTATAGGTATATATAAAATAGTATATGTACCTATGTAGTATATATCTCTATATAGTACATATGCTTTTGTGAGTGCATAAAAATTCACAAATTCACCCGAGGTTTTCACCGTCTCCACATGTACATTTATTTGTATTAGTACACACCTACATATATATGTATATTTGTATGTATGTGTGCATGTATGTACACCGTTTTAAGTATAAGGTCCTTCAGCTTGTAAGCAGGTTATCTGCTTTCATTTCCATTTGAGTGCTTGTGTAGTGATTGTTTGTATTGTTGTTGTAATGTATACACACCACGTTTTTGGCGGCAGCATAAGGAGGGTTATTTTCACTTCGGTTTAAATTTCTAAAACCTGAAATTCCCCACATAGGCGAATTCAGGGAAAACAAAAGTTTTATAAAAATAAACTAAAAAACAAAAAATATTCTCCTCATTCCTTTAACAAGCACTTGCATGTTGTTTTTACATATATACATACATGTGCATACATATATGGAAGTGTTGTTGTTGCGCTAGTCCTTTTGCTTCACAGCCAGATACATACCTATACACGCACATAGAACCAAACGCACATTACTTCTCTCTCGTTATATTTCTTGTAGTTATCCTCCAGTTGTTGCTGGAAAAACCACATAATTTAAAACTCGCACTGCATTGAATGCCTAATAAAAACCAACTAGTTATGCTCGAGTTCAACGTTCTGACGTGCCAACGCACCGTCGTTGTGGCAGCAATTGGCTCTGCACCCCACCCCAATACTGGTATATATGCAAGTGGGTCCTTTGTTCCATCGCTTCGGTACAGCACTGAAACCAGAACAGTGTCAGGTGGCAGGTGGCATTCACTGGCTGTCGTCTTCAACTGTTTGCCGTAGCTATCACTTTGGCGTTATCATCGGGGTTCTCCCGTCCATTCGGCTCTATAGAATTCACTTCCTGCTCTAATAGGTGCGTTCGTTTGCCAGCCGGCGAATGCGGCATTTAGTTTGCAGGATAATAAACAGTGCGATGTAGCGTTGTAGGTTTTTGTACCCGTTGCCAGGGCGAGAGAACACGCGCAGCATTGAGGTATTTAAGTCCAGCCGTACACTGGCGGTACGTAGACTTCGTTTGTTGCACCTTTCGTTGATTGTGTTTACAGGAATTTATTACCTTGCGAAGCCACTGTTGCTATCAGAGCCAGCGCCGGCTTTCATCTATTTCACCACTTTACGTCGTTCGCCTTACTTACCTTCCTGGTAAATTTGGTTTTGTTTGTTCTTTTTCCACTACTTACATACATTTTCTCTTTTGATGCTCCTTGCTCTACTTGTAAAAATATCTTCCACGGCTCGCAGCTGAGCCTTCGCTCATCGCTTAAGGCGGTCGTAGCGATTTGTGGCACATTTTTCGTTTTTATTGCTTTTATTTCTCTTCACTTCCCACTTTTATTATATTTTGGCTTTGCTGTAATTTCTTTTTGCCTTCCCGAAGTTATCCTTCGTCCTGACACGCTCATATTTCCTAACTTGTTTACTTTATAGTGTGCAGTTGTGTGTGCGCTCGTCTTCGTGGGAAAGAAACGATTTCACATTGCGATAAGCCAACAACAAATTAATTTAATCATTAAGGATTTTTTCGAAGTTTGAATTTAATGTTTCGCGTGTGCGCACACTTTATGGTCAACCGCTCCGCCAGTGCTGAGCGCTCCTTGATGGTGCGTGTAATTAAATGATGAACCTCGTAAATCTGTGATTAATTTCCTGGCGTAAATTCGCCTAAAAACTTTTTTCCTTTATACCTATTAGCAAACTTCATTTCTTTATTTCCAAGTTTTTTTGACAAGTGTAATGAGTCCATTGAAGGCAATAACGAAAGCAAACTGTTTTCTAATATTGACGTGGTGGGAGTGGCTAACGAGCTCGTATGCATTTACGCTTTGAAAACTTAATCCGCGCTGAAATAAAAGAACATTCACAGAATTTTCTAAGATAGTGAAGATCGAACCACATTATTATTAATTCTCTAGTGGAGAGTTCTTTTTACCATGTACCTCCTGGACAGATAAGCATTGAACTAGCTAAGTGGACATTAAGCTAACACTACTATATATAACCGTAAGGTAGCGTCGTCTCTGTGGGTAATGTCGTCCGAATAAGGACGCTGACTTTCAACTAATTAATGGAGACTCGTGAAAATAAAATAACCAAAAATCGGAGAAATTCAAAATGATTCAGTAACTTAGAATACCACGTCCGATCTTAGAAATTAAGTAGCCTTTTTCGGGCAATGAACCACACTTCCTTAAGAGTCGAAATATTAATTTATACGATTTTTATTGATTGCTGATTAATATCTGGATTTTTACTTAAGTTATCGCTTTCACAGACAGACGGCCGGACAAACTGTCAATCGGATTTCAATTGTCTAGTCGTCCTGATCACATATATATATACATATATATATATACATAACTCTATATCTAGCTTGATTAGTTTTACGTGTTACAAACAACCTTTATGTGAGCAAAACTATTACACTCTGTAGCAACTTGTTGCGAGAATATAAAAATTGTATCGTAAGAATTGACAAAATATATTTTCTAAAATGTTGCAAATATTTCCGCCTGGTAATTTCGGATTAGTTATGATTAAATGATAATGGCATTGGCTTGTACATTTGACTAATAATTTTGTTTTTTTTTAGCTGAATAATAATTCATGCACGGTCTTAAAGGCTTGGTCTGAAGTGTTAAACGATATTGATTACTGCGTGGAAAAAGCCTTGTCTGTATATAAGCCTCTATTCCTATCTAAATATTATATGTTTATTTCCATTTAGATAAGCTATCGGTAGAAATATCTAAAGGTTAGTAAATCTCCTTCACTGATTTTTAATAATATATGTGTATAACATAATTTTCACTGAACTCTCCATTCCCAATTATTAGAGTCCAGTCCAAAATCAAATTCACTCTCAACTCAAATGTTTTGCTGTATGAAGCTGATTTAAAAGTGAAATGATTTTCATTTAATTATGCCGCCTGGCAGCCGGGTAGAAAATGTAATACAAAAATCCATTCAATTTTCTCTAACTACCTCATTGGGTGGGAAGCTGAAATCCGGAAAAATACGGTCTACGGCAAACAAGCAATGGAAACAAACTGCACCAAATTAATTTGTTGATGATATTGGCTTTCGTATGCGGCAGCAGCCACGGCATTGAGAACAAGCCACAGTGGACGGAAAGATAGAGAGATGGAAAGATGAAATTGCATCAACAGAAGCAACAATAACCACTTTGGCATTTGTACAAGGGTACTGCCGCGCTCCTCATACGGTCAAATGTCGTCAGATCGTTATTTACAACTACTGTGACACCAAAAAAACAACAATAACACGTTGTCATCACCAACACGATTACTACCACCACCGTCGGCTGCTTAGACAGGATGGCATGTAGTTAGACTATTGCTTGCAGCTGCTGTAACAAGTTGCTGCAACAACAACGGCAACGTACAGCAGGCAAATCAGGTTCACACTGTCCGTGTATAATCACGAATGCCAACGTTGTAATAATGATAATTTCAAATGAAATTGAATCCTTTCATGCCTTCCTCCAGCCGCCGACAACCAGCTACCACATACAAGCACGCGTCGCAGTCTTTGAACGACCGAGTTCGCTTAGTAACGTAAGACCAAACAGATGGTTGGATGGATGGAGGGGTTCCAAAGACCAACAGAGCAAAAGGCAAATGGGCTTGCGGACCAGCAGAACGATTGGCACAAATGATTTGGCAAGTGAGCCGACATAGTGAGCTCAACAGTTAGACTGCGCGTTGTGAGTTGTGAGAGTTGATGTATGGCGGTCTGACCCACTTACAGCTAATTTAATTCGAAAATTCACTGCGACAAAGATGTAATTTTTTATGCTCATTTTCCTGCCATTTTTATTTACATACAAAAGAAATTACAAGTTCGCAAAAATGGGCAGCTTGACAGAAGTAGCTCAAAAGTATTTAAATGGACAAAAAATCATGAGCGCTATCAGGGTTGGCTTCGATGCGGCCAGTAGGGTATGAGTGCTGCAGAGCAGGCAAATAAAGAAAGAAGATGGAGTGGGTAGAATTTCGTATTTCTCTGTAAATAAGTATTAGGAATAGGAGACTTTACATAAACGAGTATATTTGAAGAACCGTAATGAAGCGCCTGCATGAGTATCAGGGAAGAAAGTAAAGGAAATGAATACGGTGAATAGCATGTACTTACCTTTCTACCTACTTAACAAGAATACACAATTTTCAAATATTGTGATAATCACTTTTATATAAACGGAAATTATATTATACTCGTACATAACTGAACAGAGATTTTTTCTTATTATTAAACATAACCCACAGACATTAGTTGATTGCGTAGAGATATGTATAGCAAAATACACCATGTACATATATTTGATAATTTCATGTTCATATTTATACTAGGCTTGACCGAATCGAAACACGAAGGTGCCTCTACTCAGTGATCTTATAAAGAATAAAACTGATTTTATTGTCGCCCAAGATTTTTAAATTTGTAGAAACTGAACGTAGATATCGGAATGGTGATGAACTAGAGAACGCAACGATTAGTAGATCGTTTACGTCACAATTTACATACAAATTCACCTTAAAACTTGCGCAAGGGTTGCCTTCTAAATGCGCTTCGAAATGTGGTCTTTCCTGCCTAGGCTAATAGACTTCACTGGTCCCTAACCTAAGATACACAAAGAATTGTAGTATACGAGTTACCTTCCTGTCATTGAAACGTAAAACGAAAATATAATGGATCTCTTTCATAGATGACGCATTTCGTATTATTTGTATGCATTATTTGCCAGACAACTTCCGATTTATCTATATCTATAATTTTTGTCATGAAACATTTTTTCATGTCTATAGTCAGCTAACTAATAACCTAAAAAAAAATTAAGAAAAACCATCACGACGATAAAACGACATAGGAGTATGGACATTATCTCTTGAAAGACTATTCAGCCACCCCAGACTACATAAATCTTTAGCAAGACAACGTGAATTTGTTATTTTGTCCCAAGTGCAATCCTTACACACATGCACTCTTTTAAATACCTTCGTGCGTTTTCTTCACCTCTTTCCAGTTCATTCTTTCGTTTTATTTAACTCTCTTCAATGCATTCGTCTGTTCCTTGCCTTGCGCTTACCAGTGCATCTCCGTTCGTTCCCGTAAAACTTGTCAACACCCATTTGTCGGCCGTAAGTATGCCATTGTTATTATTGTCGACCAAGTGGTGGTCTCAATTGAATTATTCCTTCCTGCAGCGCATTGACTTCTGCATGCAACAGTCATGTTGCTTTGCTCGGCCTTCCTGCTGGCGACGCTATATTAACGCTTTCCACGGCCAACGAGCCATATGTCTGGGTCTGATTCTGAGTCCACTTTAATAGCTTTGCAATTGAATGCAATGAATTTTTGCTACTTTGCCAACATTCACAATGCGCCGAGACGACCGATGCAACAAGAAAGTATAAAGTGTGTGTATGTATTCGAGGATATTAACGCATACCACGTAGTCGACGTGTCTAGTCACTCACTCACGTACACACGCGCTATTTACACTGACTTTATTTTCCCATAAATATATGTTTGGCCCTCCGAAAGATATGCGCTGGCTTGTTTGTAACGCTCTTTCTTGGCAAACTCCCTGTCTAACTTTGACTGTCTGAGAGTTTCATGTTCCTTATTGCCTTTCCGCCCACACCCATTGGTGCGGTGTCGCAAATATTTATTTTACTTTGCTCTGCAGCCGTGCCAAGGCTTCCAGCTCTGAATGCCAGCTCACACCGCTTCAAAAGCACTTCTTAACTTTGAACTTGCATACCAATTGCGCTTGCTTACAAATGGCGTCACTCTGTGATGCCATATTTCCACTTGTGACACTTATTTTATTTTTTCCAACTTATTTTTGGAGTACAGGTCACACTCATTTGTAAGATTCCGCTCGTTTGTCGCTGGAAGCGGAGTAACATTTCCTTATGTGCGTTGGCGTTCCGGTACATGCGAGCGTCTCTGACAGTTTCAAACGGTTTCTAGATTGCTGTGGAGTATAAACGATATAGTTTTCGGCGGAAAGGTAGAATAAATAGAGGACGAGCACCTGTTTCTGAATATATGTACCTATCTATAGTACAAGTACATGTTAAGAAAGAACTTGAAACAAGTGATGAAAACGCCAGAAATATTAGTTTATATCATAATACTGCACCCCAGAAATAAGACCCCAAAAATATTATAATTCCTTCTTCTGTTCTCGCATTGGTAAAGCTCATCATGATCTTTGAATCATTCCAAACATTGTCATCTTGCCTTGTTGAAGTTAATTAAAGGTTTTTACTCGAACGAAAAATGAGTTATTGACAGTTTGTTGAGGCGCCTAATTTCCATTTCAGCTACATCGTTTTCATGACTGGTGATAAGAAATAATAAAATAAATTATAGAAAAAGCTGAATAGGAAAGTTGGAAAGGCCAATGAGGAAAATTATACACATATACTTGTAAACTGACGTTTTACGTCAGCCTTTCTCAACATACAGAAATAATTATATTTCGCCTTTACCACAGGCAAAGGATCGATTCATGCCTCTTTGATTTCCGTTTAATTCCTATTTGTAGCACAAGCTGAATAAGAAGATTAAAGCTACTACACAATACCGTGTATTAGTAGTGTAGTAAAGTGGCCATTATATACCTAATTATTTTTTCCAGCTTCTTTGGATTTCAAGTTGTTTATTAACTTTCAATACTAAAGAACCTTTGAATGGTCTGGAAGTCAATTTTATAGATCGGTTATTGGGATTGTCTTGTCGACACCACAAATTGATTCAAGCGTAGTCAACAATTCCAGAAATATTTTCAGCTCACTGGCTGGTCAACTCCACTTGTCCATAATTAAGGTTTCTGGCCACAAGAACATTTTATGCAACGAAAAAGCAGATGAACTGGCAAGGGTAAGAGCTTCTTTAGACGAATCCGAGGTGGAGTTAATACCATGCCCGCTGTGTACGATCAAAAGAAATCAATAACAAACTGTAAGATAACGAAGCAATTACGACCCAAGTATAAAAAAGGCTAAAACTAAGGACCTATTAAATAGGTCCAAGAATAGTATTTACAGATTTACAGCTACTATAATGGGGCACAGGCCTTTAAGAGAGCATGCGCTAAAAATGGGTCTGCCTCATAACAATATTTGCCGCAACTGCAAGGTAGAAGGGACTACGGAAACGGGTTTCCACTTTCTTTGTGAATGCCTAGCTCGATCATGGAAAGGTATAAAAAAGCAAAACGAATATTAGTAGTGTCATTGAGAGCATTAAATGAACGCAACGATCAAACGAGATAGCAACGTTATAAAGGTCCAATTATATTGCATCAAAATGGCGCATCTAGCGCTAACTGAGCCCAGGGAGCCTGATCCTACCTACCTACTGGGATTATAAATGCAAAAAAAAAAAATACAGGTAAGTTAAAAGCTTAAAGTCCTGGTTTTTGTAATCTCTTAATATTTTAAAATCTCTCTTAAAGGTTCCACTTAAAAATCGAGGTATTGCAATTTTGGTACTATTTTAATGAAAGAAATTGAAGGTACTAATCGAAGCGACGAAGTTCACCTCTATAAAGTTTTCTACTTCGGATTGTTTTTTACGCCGCGTCGCCAAAACAACTTTGCATGCGGGGTTCCATAGATCCGAAGTAATCGTAGTCGCATTCACTGTTTCAATTTAAACCTACGTCATATTAATTTAGCATTAGCGCCAATAAGTTTTAAAGCCTGAAAGTAGACATACAAAAGAATTTAATCACTCAAAGTCAATTACAGCCGCACGTTGAGACTGTGTTGGTATGTTGGTTCGCCATAAAAGTCATTTAAGTCCATAAAAAATTTTACTGGTCGCATTGTGCACATCGTTGAGCGGGCGTTGTGACAAACCGACATGTGTATTTGTACAAATTTACACACACAAACATTTTCATTAGCATTCAGCCGTGGTGGCAGCTGTGCAGAGTCCTTTGTGACGGACTACATGGGCGACTGTTGGCGCATCTAACTGTGCGCCAAACCAACCAGTTACTGCCTCAGTCAGACTTCCGCTAGCACCCAAACTCGCTTCCTGCTCCGTAACAGTTAGTGTCGAGAGTGCCGAGTGCCTGACGCCTGAGGGCTGATATTACCGGTTTGCTGTTTGTTTTTTCCACGTTCATTTTTGCTGCTGCTGTTACTATTGTACGTATGTAGCACTGCCTGCCTGCGCTGGCGCTGTTTTTGTTGTTTCACTTTCAATGTGTTTTCGCGCTCTTTGGTACTCGTAAGGTTCATGTCTGCTTTGCTTTTGTGTTGGTTTTCAACAAACACTCTCCCATACATAAATACACGTATATGTATGTATATGTGGCATAATACATTTCATTTTGTTCTTCTGGCTTTCGTTTTATGCATTTTTTCTGCTATCGTTTATTTATCTATTTTCTCGTCCTTTACTTTCAATGAAAATCAATAAAAGTATGTGCTTTTATGTGAGCTGCCCCGCGCCCGACTTGCATCAGCATGCGCTCAGCGCCATTGTCGACGATTTGCGCTCAGTCAGCTAGTGAATATGCTAGTAGGCCTGTCGGCACGGCTATGGCTGTTGCTGTTGTTGCTTTAGTCTGTGCTTTCATTTTCTTTTGTGGTTTCGCGTGTGCAAGTTTTTGCCGCCGTTGTTCGCCGGTGTACTGCATGCAGGACTTTATGTCCTTACACATAGTCATATTTTGTGCAAACAAAGCCATAGATTATATTGCTAGGGAGCGCCAAAGCGGGCAGGACACATGGCACATACGGCTCACATGGCAGCACACACGCACGTACAGGACTTAACATGCATGTAAGGGTGTGTGTACGCACCATGTTGAGGCATCCATCAAGCGCACACACATCCAAGCTAGAGGATACAGCAATGACAGTAGCGAATTATGGCCACATCCGGATTTTAGCCAAACGGATTTGCTCCAAAAAATCTACTTTTCCTTACCTTTGCTGTGTTTAGCGGGTCGTTTTGTTCTACCAACAAGAACGACGTTATGATGCAATGAAATAAAACACTCAAACTTGGTCAAAATGGGTTCTGTTATTTTTTTGTTATGCAGATAATTTTATGCCATTTATGATTTTAACAAAATGTCGGCCAAATGGCCCCCGAGGTGCAACATTTTGGCTGGAATTTCAGCTATAGTGGGCTGAAGGTTGTCTTAGAGCTCCTCGAGCGTTGATTGGTGTAAGCCTTTGAATTAACATACTCTCAGAGAAAATAATCTACAGGTGTTAAATTGCATGATCTTAGCGACCATTTGACTGGACCATTTCTCGAAATTAACGAGTCACCAATCTTGACAATTTCTAAGCGTTGTACCAAAGTGAAACGTGACATGATGAAATGGCAAACCTTACTGAACACAATGACAAAATTTTACCCGAATCCGTAAACAAACGAGCTGTCA